GGTCTGATTTTCAGTAAGCAGATGATCCTCAGAGGTGGGTATTAAGTGCACATGTAAATGCAAAGACATAGAGAGGGCTGGGCCCGTGGAACAAAAAGTGAGACTTGAGATAAAGGGGGGTGAAGGGATTGCTCCTGGGAAGCAGCAAAGATGGATCACAGAGCGCAAAGGAGGAGAAAGGAGAGGAGAGGAGAGGAGAGGAGAGGAGAGGAGAGGAGAGGAGAGGAGAGGAGAGGAGAGGAGAGGAGAGGAGAGGAGAGGAGAGGAGGAGCGCTCGAAATAGGCGGCACCGGAGGCCCCCCTGCCGGGCTGCAAATACCTGCAGCAGGGATTCCAAAATGCTGGGAAAGCAGCAAAGAAAGGCAGAGAAGATGTTTGGGGAAGATCTGCAGGCTGGGAGCAATCACTGCCAGTGGGGGACAGAAGGGACGTGCTGCACTTTGCCTTTTCATGGGAAGCAGAAGCAGGAACTGGGGGCAAATTCCACCTCCCAAAGACGTGATGAGAGCCGCTGCCGGCAACGTGAAGCAAGAGCAATTCAAATGAGAAATTAGGTGCAATTTATTACGTGCCAGGGCAGTTTGCCAGGGGAGCAGACAGGCCCAAGGAGTGATGGATTCCCCTCTTCCTGACATCTGCAAATGCAGGTCAGGCAATTTTCTGAATGAGGCGCTTCGGCTGAGCTGCTGCTGCTCACACTCGGGGTGTTCCCGCAGGAGCAATGCTCTGGCTATTCCTTGGAAAATTAAAACTTTTTCCCTAGGTGCCAATCAATTTTTTTGTGCCCCAAGTTGTCTCCCATTGTCTTGTGCCATTGCAGGGCTTTGAAGCACCGCTTAGCTATTGATTTGCTCAAGTTTGTTATTCAACATTGGCATCCAAGTGTTGGAAACCAGCTCTAGAGTCTGGAACTTGGAGAAAGCTGCGGGAAATTCCTAGAAAGCACAAGGATATTCCCCAAAAGGCCCTGGAGTTCCTAGAAAGGATCAGGGGGTTCCTGGAAAGCAGCAAATGTCCTAGACAGGTTCCAGATTGAGGAGCCTCAGACTGGCTCCAGACCCTGCAGTCCCCAGAAAGTCCCAGAAAATTCCTACAAAATGCTGGGAAACTCACAGCAAGGCTCCAGAGTGCCTCATCCCTGGACATTTCCCCTTGTTTTTTCTGGAACTAAACCCTTGTAAAGGGGATTCCAAGTTTCTCCCTGCTGCTGCCCTATCTGAAGCAGACTTCACCAGGGAGTGCCTGGGCCTCGGCATCGCTCCTTTTTTTCCAGTGAAGTCTCCCTCCTCCACCACTAAAACAGTGCAGAGCCCTGCGAGATTCAGAGCAGTCGCCACAGCTCTCCCAGCCCCAGGCTGAGCCTCATCCCTCCTTTTGCTGAGCTGGGCAAAACCGCAGCTGACGGACCCCAGAGATAACAGTGCCGTTTCCAACAAAATGATCCCAGCGGCCGTGCAAATCCTGCACTGTTAATGTCAGGAGCGAAGAGAGGCAGCAATGCAGTGGTCCGGCTTTAATTAAACGTCCCCAGAGAAACAGAGCAAAAAAAACATCCATTTGGAGAGACGCCTCTTGCTCCCATTCCCGGCAGATAAACCTCTGCCATGCCTGGGAAGTGCAGGACCCAGCAGCAGCCCCTCACCCTGGCGCCAGGCCTGCTGCCTCCTGCGGCTGGCAGGGGTATGTTCCTGTTTCTTTTCCTCCTTCCGTGCCCATTCTCACTTTTTCTTACTGGGGGGAGGTGGAAGCTTTATGAGGTTTGATTTTTTTTTTTTAATTAGTGTATCCATTTTTTAAAGCGAAATATTAAGTTCACAAGAAGGTGGCAGCATGGGGAGGGGGGGGTGAACCAGGCATCTGTTTAAAAGACAACGGCGTGAGCTGATGAATAAGGAGACGGGAGCTGCATCCGCAGGCTGTGCCGAGTCACAGGTGTTTTGTGTAGCCTCACAACACCGCATTAAAATGCAAATTTGTCCCTGCCTGCTGGGAGCAGATAGTAAAGCGCTAAACAGCAAAGAGGCAGCGTAGAATAAACAGAGGGCACAGCAAGAGGGGAGGTGAAATAGAGGCTTCTTTTTAATTATTTTTTCCCCTTTCTTTTTCCTTAAGTGACTTTCGGCTGTTGTAGGAACAGAGGTTTTCTTTTACCGCAGCAGAAGGAAAACGGGAGGGAGGATGCCAGTCCCCAGGACTAGCTGCGGGCTCCCTAGCGGGTCCGGAGGGATGTGGGCATCCTGCAAGCTGGGGCCAGTGTCCCAAGCAGGAGCTTTGCCATATCAGTGCAAAACCCACCTCATCTGCCTGGGGTTTGCTCCCTACAATTGCTCAGTTTCCTCCCTGAGGAACCTAGGAGGAGTTAGGAGCCCAAATAAACTATTTGGCCTTGTGTTTCCAATGCCCAGGGGTGCATTTTTAAGGATTGCTGTTAAGGCTGTTGCTCAGGGGCAAATACCTGTGTGTTTGTATGTATAAATACACACAAAAAAACCACATATATGCTCCTGTGCAGGCTCTTTTGCATTAATCCTTAAAGAGCATTCCCATGTAAAGTCTCACACACACATATATATGCATTTACATAGTTCTAGCTATATGTGTGTATATATTTGCATACATATACACACATATTTGTATAGAGATGAATGGGTAGTTATATGGATGCGGAGAAGCTTCTGCTCTCATCTTTCCAAAGCGAAGCCCCTCCATCTCCTCCCTCCTGGGGAATCTGGCCCCCTTTGCCGCATCCGCACCAGCAGGGCCGGTGTCCCGGTGCCGGATCTGCCGGCAGCCGCGCGGCCCCGGCGGGAGCGGAGCCGGCGTCAGCCCTTGCGAGCGGCTCCAATTCCCCGCCACGTCCGCACTGGTTCCCCAAGGGCGCTTGGAGCCCTCAACTTCATCTATCAGCTGAAATGGGAACTGATGGGCTGGAAAACTGCTGCTGATGCTCCGTGTCACATCCTGGGCCTGGCTGCAGCCCCTGGAGAAGGCAGTGGGAGAGCAGCCAGCGCCGCGCTGGGAGGGGATGGAAAACATCGTATGGGAAAAGGAAAAGGAAAAGGAAAAGGAAAAGGAAAAGGAAAAGGAAAAGGAAAAGGAAAAGGGAGGGCAAAACCTGATGGAGACTCAGCCGGGGGAAGTTCCTGCATGGACCCCCACATCTCCCAGCCACCGGTCGACCCCACTACGGGCCAGGGCAGCCCCGGGACATGCTCAGGAACCAGGAGTCGGTACTGGCATATCTTATTACAATTATAAAATTTTATTATACACTCTTCTTAACTTTCCCCCTCCTTTTCTTTTTCTCTTTTTAACAAATATTCATATATGTTAATTTAATGATGAGGTTTAGAAGTTCCATGAAGGGAATTTGGCTGTATTAATTTTACTGCTCAGAATTATTATTAGATCAGTGGCTCGTTCAGTTGTACCTGGGTCCTTCAGATAACAGGACGCAGTAAAATGTAACTGGTCTTTGCGCATATCTCAATTCCCCCATATATATATATGTATATATGTATATGTATATATCAAATCAGCATAGAGCTAACCAGTAAGTTTTAAGGCTGCTGGGGGAGAAATTCTTATAGCTTGAAAGTGATAAACCCTTTAAAGAGCCTGTCACATCATCACAGAGCGCCACGGGCAGCCGCTTTCCAACGAGGGAAACTGAGGCATGGGGACAGCGCACGAGGTGGCACAGACGCCCCTCGGCCTCAGTTTCCAAGAGGGAAAAGGAGGATCCTGGATCCAAACCCCAAGGGCTCGGACGGTGCCGAGGCCACGCGCGCGCTCATGCAGGGCCGGAGCCAGCGGTGCCCGCGGAGCCCTGGGCAGTGCCCGGTCCGGGGGTGCTCTGAGCTGCACCCGGCCTCTCCTCGCTCCCCAGCCGTCCCCAGGGCCACCACCGAGCCTGCTTGGAGCATCCAGGCAAGGTGACAAAGTGATACAGCCCGTCACAGTGCTGCGATGCCTTTTGGTTTGGCTTTCTGTTTTCTTGATTTTTTTTCTTTTCTATTCTTTTATTTAAGAAAGAAAAAAAAATAGACACAGTGGTGGGTAACTTCCAATGCAGAAAGGAGCCGCTGCTGCCAGCCTCCACCTGCCCCTGTCCCACTGGCCGTGGCAGTGCCTGTGTGGGACACCGGGTGCTCCGAGTTCCCCAGGCTCGGGGATGCTCCCGAGCGGATGCTCCGAGCGGGACCAGCCCGGCAGCCCTGGGCTCTGGGGC